AAAGATTGGGCTGGTGAAAGAAGGAATATTCAGTAAATTTTTCAATTTTTTCCTTATGTATATCTCGTACTGTTTTAATGTGCTATTATTGCTAATTTAACCTTTGTTTACATTGTGTACATGTGGGAACTAGAGAAAGAATTAAAAAAAAAAAAGTCTGTTTATTATGTGATCGTAACCTAAAGATAAGAAGAAACAATAGATATATATATATATATCTGAAAAAAATGTGGGACAGTAGTACTATCTTGTTATAATAACTTTAGGGAGCATTAAATCTTTATTTCTTGCTTTTTCAATAAGAAGAGGATGTAAACTAATTGTGCAACACGGTAGTTTTCCGGAAAAAAGTTACATGCTTATAGAATTATATTATTAATATATATATACACATATATTTATATGTTTACAGAATTGTTTTTTTTTTCTTTGTATTGCTATACCAATTATTTTTTTTTGTACCTGCTACTCATGATGGCAGTGCAGTTGCGCATGATATATCCAAGAATAGTTTTTATTCCCATTAACAGTTTATGGCAGGTGAATTGGTGTTTGTTTCTCTCTTTCTGTGTATTTCTGTCCTATTTTCTTTTCTATTCCTTTTGCAAGCCTTGAAAAGGGGTGATATAGACTTTTGTACAACTGGCCAAAAAAAAGAGGAAAAAAAAAACAATGATATTAGCTATTTTGAAGTTATCATTTATAAAGGTCGTCAAGAAAGCTTCTGAGTTTTGAAAGAAGAATAAGTTTTTTTTTTTTTTTGATTATATTCAGCTGAGTTTAAAAAAGTTGTTGGCATTGACATGTTCATTACTATTGGATCTTGGAATGAATGTTTAGCCAAGATTAATAACATTCACACCTCTTTTTCAACATAATATATTTTCGACGGTGTTTTTTTTTCCTTTCATTTTCGTCTGGCGCTGAACCAACCCGTACACCTGAGGTTACCATACAAGGAGGTAAACTTGTCGTATACTATAGATGAGAAATTTAAAATTGTATATATCTCTTCTATTTGGAGTGAGTGAGAAGCCATACTGTTTTTGATTCGATTGTATTGTTAAAGGATATGGGTTAACCAAATCTATATATATATATATGGGAAAAAGAAAAGAAAATGTTTTTTTTTTCCTTTTCCTCTTTATCATATTTCACGTCTGGACTCTCTCTCTCTCTTTTTCTCTTTCTGCGTGTGTGTTTTTTTTTTATCTTTGTTTGTTTGTTTTTCTTCTTTTTCTTCTTCTACTGGTGTATATGTGTTAATGCTTGTCTATGTGATGCTTTACTGGAAGGTGCGGTGAACCGTATGTGGGACTGGGTTGTACAGTGGTTGCTGCCCTCTGGTGAAGTACGCTCAGAAATAGGAAAGGATGAAGAAAAAGAGAACCAGTTGAAAATAGTCGAGAATTCACAGAATGAGTTATGCCGTCTTGATAGTGAGATTGATTCTATTACGGGTACACTTACACAATGTGAAAAAACGCTTGATGTCTTGTTTAAAAAGGAATTACGGCTTCGTGAAGGTTTAGAAGCATACCTTATGGAAATGCATGATTGCAAGAGTGGTGAAACCTCGTCATTGTTAAAAGAAAAAGAAGAAGAAAAAGAACAACAACAAAGAAATGTGAAGATGGGGTTTGGATCTGTGTTAGATAATGGTGATGATGATGATGATGATGATGATAAAAATAACAGTGTGGTGGCAGAAATTTGGAATATTCTCATACAATTCCAAGAGAGAAGGGAGAAGTTGCAAGAGCGTAGATATCGTCTGGAAGTTACGCTTCGGTGTTTAGAGGCGGAAAAGGACGCCGTGTCGGGAACACTGGAATCTTTGCAGGAGCATGTTAATCAGAATTCCTCTGATTTGATGGAAGATAGAGAAGAATATGGATTGGGTGTCCCAATTAATCCTCCACCCGTTTTAGTGGAACTTGTTGAGGAATACCGTGATGAACTAGATATGGGGCGTACAGTCTAAAGGCTTTTGCTCCCTTTTTACTGTTCTTTCTATTCTCTCTTCTTCTTGTTGTTGTTGTTGTTTGGCTTTTGATTTGCATATGGTTTTTTGTTTTGATTTTCATTTGCCTTCTTGCTTGCTCTCAAACCCTGAAAGTTCCAAAAAGGATACTTGTGAAAAGAAGGAATACATGGTTTTTTTTTTCTTTTATTATTTATCTGTGTCTGTCTGTGTGTGTGAGTGTGTGTGCAGGGTAATTCCATTTATCCTTCTACTCCCCTATTTCCCTTTTTTTCTTTATTATTTCTTAGTTTTTCTTTCTTTCTTTGATTGTTGTTGTTATTGCTATTTTCTTTGTACTAGTTCAGAGTCAATCCAATAGTAATAATAATAATAACAATAATAATAAAAGAAATAAATGTCAGAGGATGCCAATGATACAGCTGCGGTTGTTACAACTAGTAGTGTGAGCTCCATCACGCCTGAGGCTCGTTTCGCGGAGCTTGTAATTGCATGCAATGACTCCCGCATACGCATTGCGGAGCTTGAGGCCACAGTGGCCTCATTAGAAGAGGCATTATCGGAAACTCGAAGAACAGACAGTAGCACTGGTGCTTCTTTAGGGCGACGAAGTTCTGCCCCATTGCTTGATCAACCATTTAAAAAGAGTGGATTGCAGGAAATATCTCAATGGAATAAAGAACTTGTGGCTACTGTAGATGAGTTACGTGCCACTATACTAAAAATGGAAACCGATGCTAAAGTTCAGATTATTGTTCTTGGGGATGAAGTAGAACGACTTCGCACGGAGAATGCATCTCTACAACGTGAGAATGATGCCTTAAAGGAACGTGTAGCCGATGATGTATTGCGTCAGCGACAGACAAATCGTGTGGAAATGGCATTTGAAAAAGCTAAAATCGCTTCTCGAGTACGGGCGGCTGGGTTACGACGATTAGAATGTATGGAAGCTGTACTTATGGAAACACATGATGATCTTTACTTTGTACAACGTTTTGATGCCATGAAATTACCTGTACGTGATGTTACCTTTGTTATTCACATTGTAGCAAATGTCTCCTTCCCACTTGTTGGGAGTGAGGAGTTAACGATGAATATTTATCAGGAGATGTTGCAAGGTGCAGCAAGGGAATGTAAAGGATATCATGTCTGTAGTGTAAAACAAATGGAAGTGTTTGCTTTCCATAGTGCTACTGTCGCATTACATTTCGCAAAAGCATGTCATGTTGGTGTAACGAATGTTGCTTGGCCTGCGAGAACAGCTGAAATTCCATACTTTGCTCCTCTTATTGACAATGGAGAAGTTCTATACAGTGGACCACGTATGCATACTTGTGTATATACATGTAATCCAGGATCAGAGGTTGATCCCATCACTGGACGTCCAGTGTATTATGGTCAAGAGGTGCGTAAGGCTTTAGACACCGCATTACAAGCCGCACCTGTAGGTGAAATTGTGGCGAATGAAGATTGGGGAAAACTTTTTTGTAAAGAAATGAATATTATGAATGATATTCATACAGAGATCTTTGCAGATGTGCAACATATACGGGATAAATTGGGTACAGGATGGAGTGTTTTGGCTCTAGAACCTCCATATGGGGATTTATTATATTCTATTCTTCCCGTATCTCTTGAAAGACGCCGTGGACTTCCACCGTATCTTCTTGATCCTACTCCACGATTTCCTCGGGCATTAATAGATACAGAGACATTCTTGTCTTTGGTTATTAACCCTATGAAAGGTGTAAAACAACTCGCTCATACTGGGGTAGACCAGCAGAAACAACGACACAAAGAAGGATGGATAGAATGTATTTGTGATCTTGAGAAACGAGAAAGTGAAGAAAAAGATTTTAATTCTTCTGATCTTGTTGAATTGTACTCTTTACGACGGGAACGTGAAAATATTATTACTCTATACAAAAAACTTGAGACAGCTTGCGCATTTCATGAAAGGATGGCGATGCAATCTGAAGACGCTTATCTCGATAGAATTCATTATATTGATCCAAGTGAAACTTCATATGTGTGTACTGTTGATATTGGAGACAGTGCATTATGGCGAGAGATAACTAAATTATCAATGAATGAAGATGAACATCGTTGTTTGCGTGATGTTTTAATGTCTGGAGTTTTATCATCTGCTCATAAAAATGAAGGTATTATGGTTAATGGTAATAATAGAGATGTATTTGTATATGCTTTTCGTCGACCAGAGCATGTATTACGTTTCGCCTCAGAGGTTTACAGTTTTGTAAGTGAGAAATGTGAGACATTAGGGAGAGGAGATATTTGTCTTATGCGTGCCGCCATAAATGCAGGAAAGATTCGACCTATAGATAACAATGATGATCAACCTGTAGTTTTTAGATCTCATAATAATAATAATAATAATAATAATAATAATAATAATAATAATAATAATCCTGCTGCTACCTCTTGGAATTCTGATTATTCTACAGTGTTAATATGTAGAGGAAGAGTAGTTACACTCTCTGGAGCATTGTGTGATTTAGCTCGTGGAGGTGAAATATTAGCTGTATCTGAAGTTGTACAAGATTACTACGCTACAAAGACTAATCTTGCAAGTATGGAATACAATATTCTAAAACGTGGTGGAAGATATATTCATTCCTTTTCTACTTTAGTTGATGTGTATTCTATTTTACCCAAATCCTATGCTTGCCGGCAGCGTCAACAACGTTCTATGAGTTCTACTGATGAGGCTTTTGTAACCCCATCTTTTGAGTGGTCTTGTCGTTCTGCAAAGGGAGAACTTTCTCTTGAAGGAAGTACTCTCCGTCGTGAAGAAGTAGTAGAACTTCTTTTACAGCAACAGCAGTTGATGGAACGAGGAGAGGCAGCGATGATGGCTTCTCATGATACTGCTTGGGATCTCACAGCCCAACAGTCCCTTCGTCTACCTTGGCTTATCACGGGCAGTTCCGCTACCACAGATACGCCGAACAGTTCAAAAATTGGTTTCTTATTCTGTGATGCTGCGCATGTCTCTTCCCTTTCCCGCATCTTACCTGATGAGCTCTGCAAGGATGTCCTCGCTCAGTACAATCATGTTGTCAAGCAGGCATTGCTAGAGCATGACGGGTTTGTGGCCCGCACCAACTCCCACACGGCGTACATTGTCTTCTTCAAAACCCCCCACCAGGCGCTGGAGGCCGCGCTGCAGATGGACCGGGCTCTTCTCGCCCTCGACTGGCCACGGCGGCTCCACACACTCGAGCCGACGCTGCGGGTGCGGAGTGCCCGGACCGGGCGGCTGCTCTTCGCCGGCGTGCGGCTGCGGGCGGCGGTCGGCGTCTCGCGGTGGACCGACGCGGTGGGGGCGGCGGGGCAACTCGACGGGCGGGCGCGGGGCGGTGAGATCGTCGTGACGCCCGCCGCCATCGCCCTCGTCGGCGCCACTCTTCACGGCTCCCTCCTCCTCCAGCAACTCGCCGTGCGGGTGGTGGACCCGCCCAACGGCAGCAGTGGGGATAGCAACAGTGAGGAGGGGCCACTTCTCGCCTGTGTCGCGCGAAGGGTCGTGGAGCGGCTGGAGCTCATTGCGACAAATAACTCCGCAGGGCAGAGTGAGAAGGAAGAGGGGAAGGCGTCGTGGTGGCAAGAGGCGAGTAACGGGATGGAACCCCTCCCCGCTTCGAGGCTTATACCGAGAAAAACACAAGCAGCGGCAACACCACCACATGCTGCTCTGGTTTCACCTGCTGCGCTGCAGTTATTTGATAATGTGGTGGTTGATTTTAAGAAGGAATTGGCCGTTTCCATCGATGCAGGTCCATCTCGGGAGCAATTTCTGATTCTCTCACGAGATGTACTTAATGGACTCTGTAATGCCATACGATCGCTGGAGGAAGGAATTTCTCGAGTATCACCACAATCAACAACATCCGTAACGGCGACTCCAATGGAAACACATCCCTCAACATCTCTGGTTCTACCTCCTCCTCCTCCTCCTCCTCCAGCTGCTGCTGCTACTACTACTACTCCTCCTGCAACAGCAACAACAACAACAACGACAACAGCAGAGGCAACAGCGACACGTCTCAGGGGAAATTCGGGTAATGTGTCTACCAAGAATATCGCCTCATCTCGAGGAAACTCTCTAATGCAACGTGCGCCAAGGAGTCGTTTTGTGAGTTCTATTGCATCAAGAACGAATACTCCTGATCCTTACAGAAGTGCATTGCTCCTTCTAGATAATACAATAAAAACTGCGATTCAGCGAAGTGGACGCTCATTAGGCAGTACTATTCATCCATCAATCCTTCCGAAACTAAGGGCTCCATCCAAAACATTACCTGATCGTGGTCAAGCGAAGTCAAGCAAGGTGATTCGACTCAGTGGGAAAACCAGAACGTGAGGAGAGATAGTAATGTATCCCACTTTCTCTGTGTGTGTGTGTTTGTGTGTGTATGTGTGTGTTACCCCCCAGGACTGCAATTGGGTGTGGTAGTTTGATGTAAAGAAACAAAAAAAAAAGTATAAGAGGAACAGATAGCAAAGAATTGAGCAAATGAGAATTAATTTGAACTCTGTCTTCTTTATTTTTGTCTACAGTGTATTGAATTCCCTTTTTTTTGCATTTTAGTTTTACTCTTCGTTGCTGTTTTTTTTTTCTTTTTGTTTTCTTGCTTTTTTTTCTTGCTTTTTCTTTTTGCAAAATGCGTAGATTTATTTCTTTTTTTTTCGGAGTTTTGCATTACATTGTATCAACCTTTCTTCACTTTCTTTTGTTTTTTTGGATTGTTGAAACGCAAAACAAAACGAAAACGAAAAAAAAAGGGAAAAATAGAAAATGCAGCCAATGGTTAGATACCCTAAACAAGGTTGCGACAATAGTAGTGGTTGTAATGACCGTGACAGCCACAACAATGTTAAAGAAGAAAAACCTGTTAAACTAGCAAAATCTCGTGAAACCAGAAATATAGTGAAAAAGATATTTCATTATATTATTTCACTATTTTCTGCAGTTTATTATTTTTTACGTGATTTTTTCAAATTTTGCTTTCGATTTAATTCAAGAGCACGGTATGACTCCAGTAACGATACGCTACATAAAAAGGACGATGATCTTTCAACTAAACAATGTGAAGAAGAAGAAAAAAAGAAACGTAAGAATCTGGGTCGTACCATTGTACAGGATATCTCCTCTCTTCTTCACTTAAATACTTCAAATACTGAAGATGACAGTAAAGATGATTCTATGACGAGTGGTACTATTCAGAATGATGCTGTACAGCGTCGCTCTTTTGCCAACACTCTCATACGACGAAGGTTAGAACTTGAAAAACCAGAATCCTTACGAACAACGTTTCGTGTACATGCTTGTACGTGGAATGTAGATCAGACTCCTCCACCTGAGTCATGTCAGGATATTTGCGAGTGGCTTCTTGGAAAATCTCTTATGGGAAAGTTAAAAGCCTACCATGCTGCAAAGGCAAATTATGAGAAAATAGGGAAAGGGACTCCACCTGTTGTTCCAATAGCAGACTTTCCTGATCTCGTAGTGGTAAGCCTTCAGGAAGTAGAAATGGGTGGAGTGGTGTTGGTGAAGGAGTATACAGAAACGGGAGTATCTTGGGCAGAGACTATTGTAGAAGCCCTCAATAAGGCAAGTGATCATAAATTATGGTATAGGAAACTTAAGATGGTACAACTTGTGGGCCTTGTATTAATTGTTGTGCTGCGAGTGGAGCACTCGAAGTATGTGATGAATGTACGGGCCTCTCTCACACGTACAGGAGCTATGCGTGGAGTTTGGGGCAATAAAGGTTCTGTTGGACTACGGGCCACTATATATGGAAAGAGATTTCTTCTTATTGCAGCACATTTTGTGGCACATAAACATAACGAACGTACACGTACATTTAATTATCATGCTTCTTTAAGTGATCTTCGTTTTGAAGCTCAAGTAGACGTAGATGATGAAACTGAAGTTCTTCAGATGTTTAGTACTTTGGCAAGTGAATCTGAAATGATTCGTGGTGTTATTGGAAATCATTCTACTTGGGCCCGTTTATTTGGTAATTTTAGACGAAATCCATCTGCTGGTATTGAACGACGTGTATTAGATAAGCATGATTATGTTTTCTTTCTTGGTGATCTTAATTCACGTTTACATGGTGTAAAAAGCGCCGATATTAGACGACTTGTTCGATGTAAAGATTATGATCATCTCATTTGTTGTGATGAATTACGACAAGGTATGATTAGTGGTGATACCTTTGATGGCTTTCAAGAGCCTATTATTGATTTTCCCCCTACATATAAATTTGATCATGGTACTGATTTATATGATACCAGTTATAAAAAACGTGATCCAGCGTGGTGTGATCGTATTCTTTTCCGTGTATGCCTTCCATGTGAAGATAGCGTTGGTTATTCTCTTGATGAAGAAAGGACAAACAATAGTACTACTAGGAATAGCAGTAGAAGCAGTGGTGGTGGTAGTAATACTAGTAGTAGTGGTAATAGTAGTAGTAGTAATAGTAGTATCTGTTTTAGTTGTAATTGTAATAGTAAAAATGGTAGAAATTGTTGTAATGGTGAAGATAAAAATAAAAAATTATTATCAGACTCCAACAAGAACTCTACCAATGACAAGCAAGAGACCCCATGTACAACGTCAACTAAATTTCCTCTTTCACATGTATATGAACCTCTTCACAAATCTGCAGAGGATGTCAAAGATGAAGCAGAATCCTCTACATCTTCTTCTAGGAGTAGTGAAGTACTATTAGAAGGAAAAAGAAGTATATCAGTACGTGGAGAAATACCACCTACACACCTTTTTGGTAGTTTATCTTCTATGGATACTACTGAACCATCTACCTCAAAAACAAAATCACCCCCAGTAGATATTGTTGCAGCAGAGGCGAAGCAACTCCCTACTTTTTTTTCCGCTAGACGATCAACATGCACAGATCGACGGCTTCTCATATTTCCAATGGTGCCAAATAGGGTGAGTGTTCTTGACTATCATCATATTCCAGATATGAGACAGTCGGATCACCGTCCTGTCTGCGCACAATTTGATGTAGATGTACTCTCTCTTGAGAAGGACTTAGTTGATGAAGTGATGCACGATGTGTATGAAGGGCTAAGTCACGATTATGCATATTATATCACTTAATTATACTTGTTTGAATGATCTGTTTTTTTTTTTTTTTTTTTTTTTGTTTCTTGTTGATTTGTTTTCCTTCTTTGGATGTATGTTGAAATAATCGTTCTTTATTGAGAGAAAAGTCTCTTGATGATGTTGTAATTGTTGGTTGTTTGTTTTTGTTTTATTTATCCATTGAGTTCAGTAGATTTAGAGGAACGAAAACAAAAAAGGGTATATATACATACCTTTGTTTTTTGTTTTTTTTCGTTTCTATAAAGTCTACCATTTTCTCCTTTCTCTGACGTATTCAAGATGCAATCGCTGTATTTTTCGCGTTTTTTTTTTTTTGCTCCTTTTCCCTTGGATAGCGATACTTTCCTTTTTTCTTTGTATTCCAAGTGGTGTATATATCTTTCTTTGTGCGTTTGTTTGTGTGTTCATCTTTGTTTTTCACTGTATTTAAATCCTTTTTTTTTTGCATTTTGTTTTCGAGTACTTATACTGCTTATTTCGTCAGCAATCTCATCAATTACTCGCTCTCCGGTAATTCTGGACCTGTGTTTGTGTGAGTGTGAGTGTGAGTGAGTGAATCTGTAAACAGAGGAAGAACAGTGTACATCCATATATATATATATATATATATAGTGATTGTTTTTTTTCTCTCTTATTGTTGTTGTTGTTGTGTGTTCCTTCCTTTTAAAGTTATTGAAGATGTTTCAACTTCAGAAGGACGATGCACACTTTGGGGTTCGCATCACCACGAAACACAATCACAATAACACACACAGAATGCGAGAAGACGATAACAAGACACCACCACCAAGAACAAGAAGAACAAGAGCCGAAGCAGCGGCAGCAACAACAACAAGAGCAACAGCAATAGAAACAGAAGCAACAAATATAGATATAGAAGTAGCCGCCATCAATCAAAGTGGAATACCTCACTTGGCTGGTTCTGGTGCTCATGTTCCTCTTCGGAGCCGAACTGTTATTGGCCCACGACTACAACTACGTACTTATCATGATAATAGTGAAGTACGTGCGGCGTTAGAGCGATTAAAACAATCGTGTGGAGCCTCTTCATTAAATGAGGCGGAGGAACTAATGACACTGCGTCACATTCACGATGGATCGGATCCCACTTGGTCTCAACTGAATCGAATTCCCGGTCATGTCATTCTTTACTGTTTCTCTTTCTGCGATATGCATTCACTCTCTGTGCTCTCGTGTGTGAACCGCCGTCTCTCTGCGCTGGCGAATGCCCATCATTTGTGGGAGGCCCACGCCCGGCGGCTGGGAGTTCCCCTGCGGGATGCCCGGCACGCCCGGGAGGATATCCGCCTCGCCCTTCAACAGCGGGAGGAGAGAGAAGAGGCGGAGGTGCGGCGACACGAAGACGAATATGAAGAACTCGAACGCCGACTTGTGGAACGCACAGCCGCCAATCGCGCACTTCCATTAGACGTGGACGCGGCTTTGTTAACGGCTCGTAATCGTGTTCCTCCAATCACGAGTAGCGGTAGAAACCGTCCTAACAATAGTAATAATAATAATAATAGTGGGAACCGTAGAACCCTCGCGGAGGAACGGGCATTGCGGGAACAATTAGATCAAATTGAAACCACAAAGCTGAATATATTGCGCACTATCACGGAACTCCAATCTACACTAGCTACTCATGAACAGCAGATTCAGCAAATACAACAGCGACTGGACATTTCACAAAGAGGTGAAACTGAGAATGATTCGACAGGTCTGTCGGACTCACTTACCCTCGCGGATGTTCAATCCTTTGAACGCCGCGTCTGTCACGTTTTGTTGAATCCCGTCTCTGATCTTCCTCTTGTGCTTCGAAGAGGGATTGATGACTTTAGTACAATGGAGCTTCTCTGTTTATACGGGGGTGGTGATGTTGGCCAACTTGTGCGGCAACGCTGGGCTGCATTTAAGCGTTTTTTCCCTCCACTTTCACGAGACTATGTGGCAGTGCGACAGGCATTGTTGTTGCCGCCGTCATCGTCTAATAGTAATAACCAAACACCATCCGCGCGATTACGGGAGTCGTTTGAACGTATTGCTGGAGTAATTCGCCGTGTGCAGATGATGACAGATAGCGAGATTGTGCAAATTACTATGTAATTCCAATGGCAATGATTAAACATATATATACGGCTTATTTTTGTTGTTTTTTTTTTTTTTTTTTTGATTACCTGTTGTTGTTCTTATTGTTATTATGTGGCATTATCTTAATATGCCCATACGTAGACATGTAAATAGAGACTATGTTTGCAAGACTTGTTTTTTTTTTTTTTACATACTACGACTCGATCTTATTCTGAGAAGGTTTTGACTCTCTACATTTATTTATCTCTATCTCTGTATATATTTTTATGTACGTATGTCTATTATTGTGCGTCATTTTTTTTTTCTTCTATGGAATCTTGTGAATGGGAAAGTATGGCCTCTTTTTTTTTTTGCTTTTTTTTGGTAAAGTATGAATGGTATTTCTTTCCATATTTGAGATGGCAACGATTTCTATGAATTGTATGTAAAGAATAAATGGGAGTGTTAAAAGGTGGCCTTTAACTCTTCTTTTTTTTTCTTTCTTTTTTTTACGAGTACCGAATGATCACTGTTAATATGGAGTCCTTTTTGGGGATCACTGTGATATTTCGCTTTAATTTATAGAGTGATAAAGAGAGAATACATATAAGAAGCAAATTGTTTTTTTTTATTTTCTCTCTCTCTCTCTCTCTCTCTCCCTTTTTTTTTTCTCTATGTCTATGTTTCAGTCAGAAGAAGAAGAAAAGTAATGCTACGAAGGTGTACTTCTCTTATTACCATTACTTCAACCATTATCGCCCAATCACATTCTATTACCCGTTCCATTAGTACAAGTATCCCCAATAGTGTACCTGAGAAGAGTGAGGAGAATGGAGATGTGGCCTCTACTACAGAAGATACACACTCCGCATACCGTGAACGTCTCATTCGTGAAATTCTCTCACGCGATAAAGAGATATTTGAAATGAAACGACAGCATGAACTCTCTATGATGCGTGTAGAGGAGAACCAGCGCCGTACACTCAAAGACCAGGAGGATCGTGGTATGTATTATGAGCAGAACTGTAATGTTCATACCTTTGACACTGTCTCTGTTGGTCTATACACACAGCGTAATACTCTTTATCACACTATGGGAGTAGAGAGACTTCGAAATGTAAAGTTATTTGTTACTTTACTTGTTACTCTCGCTACTTGCTTTTATCTTTACTATCGCTATATGATAAACCCAGAGTGGGTGTATGTGGAGAAGCCGTTGAAAATCCTTGGAAGCCGCGTTGGTGCCCTGAGAGAGTTGCGCGAACAGATAGCAGCGGAAGAGGAAAAACAGCTTCTTTCAGTTCATTCAAATACACGTTTTTAAGGAATTTTTCTCGATCTAGCTACGGCTATTATTACTGTTTCTGCTGTTATTAACTGGTGTGTATTTTCTTTTATTTTTTTTTTTTACACTTGGGTGTATAGTTGATTTGCTTCCTTCGTTAAAAAAAAAAAAAAAAATTACCAGTGAAGTGTGTGAAGAATGTGAGTGACAAATTGTGCTTGTGAGTTCAGAAATAGAATGAAGGATATCTTTTTTTTTCTCTGTGTGTTCATACTTCTTTATTTTTTTTTTCCATTTCTCTTATTGACTCTAAATAATAATAATAATAATAATAATAATAATAATAATAATAATAATAATAATATACAATACTTTGTAATTCATTAATAACATAAACTAAAGGGAAGGACAAAGACTGAGGTAGAGGTATAAAAATAAATTAAAGAAAAAAAAAGGAGGATAATCTTTTTTTTTTTTTTTTTTTTTTTTTCTGTGGTATTTTTATCCACCTACATGCGGAGAATCCTTTATCCGCTAAATATCTTAGCATTCTGCAGATTCTCACATGGTTGTGGTCCTCACACATCTCGTCTATCCCATCGGTTAAACGGAAAAAAGAGTGAAAAAGATATTAGTAAAATACGAATGAAATTTCATCCAATACCAGCACTGCAGGTAGATATGCGTGCAGAGTCTCAAATTGAGTCTTTTCTAAAGAAAGAGCGTCAACGAGAGGGAACCAAAGAAGAAACATCATTTAATGGAAGATTATCAAGTAAAGAGACATTTCCAACTATTCGTCTCTTAAATGTTCCAAAGTCTACTTTAAAACGTGCAGTTTTAGAGTTTTATGTGCGGGGAAAGGCGGTTACGGCGATAGGGCAATCTACACGTGCAAAGAGAGCAAAGATACTCTGTTGTATGCATGCACTTCAACTTATTGATCATTTCTCACTTGATGCTAGTGAGACTTCTTCTACGCCTACTCCATTACCATTAGAGGAGGAAGCACCTACATGGAATTCTTCTTCTACAAAATCAATGTCATTTTCAGTTATTCGATCTTCTTCATCTTCTACAATTAATACGACTGATACCCCTCCACAACCAAATGCATATAAACGATGGGAAGATTATGTAGCAGATAGTGAGTTGTACGTTAAACGTCAAGAAGAGAGAGAACGAAATGAAGCATATGCACAAATGCGTATTCCATTAACAGGAAATATGCTAGTTGATAGAGCAACTAGAATTACAGAAAATGAAAGGTGTACAAATCAATTAGCCCTTCAACAACTTAATAATCAAATTCGAGGTGCCACTAAAGAGATGAATGTGGTTCAAGTAATGCGCCGTGTTTTTGTGTCTACTCTCGTTCTAGATAGTGCGACACATCTTAGTGCTATTGGTGTTGCTAATACTCCAAAGGAAGCTAAACAACGTACTGCTATGCATGCATTAAATATTCTAAAGCTTGTAAAAGAGCAACGTCAAGAATCTACAAGAGGAAATACAGTAAGAACAGCAACAAACTTTGGAGGTAGTGGAAGTTGTGTTTCTTCTAATGCTTTATCAACAAGTCTTACTCCACGATATGGGAAAATGCTGGATTTTTTTACACTTCTTTGTGATGTAACCCCATCTTCAAAGTATACGAAAGAAAGCAATTGTTATACGTGTCAGATGGAATTAGATGGAGTCAAGTGCACAGGGCGTGGTATCAATAGATTTGAAGCAGAGCGCAATGCCATTGAGACCGCACTAACAGAAATGGAATTATATGATGAAAGACTACAAGCCATCAATAGTCTTATTTCAAGATATCCTAATATGCAACCTCAAACTATTCCTAGTGTCACCCTACCAGAATCACTACGGAATGAAATTCATTCCTTTGTACAACAATGTCGTAAGGAACTTCATTTACCAGAGGAAACCATTCAAACTGTACATACTACTACTACTACTACTACTACTACTACTAATAGTGAGAAAGAGAATGAGAATTCTGTACCCTCTAGTAGTAGTGAGACTGTTGTGGATGTTGAGACGCGTGCGACTCTTGCGGCGTTGGAGGCGTCCCCGCACGATGCGGCGTACTCCTCCACTCTTCTCTCCCGTCTGCGGGCGCTGCGGCTGGACGCGGTGTATCTCTCGCAGTTCCACCCCCGCCGCTCGTCCCTCCCCATCGCGCGGGCGGAGGCGCAACTCCACTCGGCGCTCGCCACGCAGCGGGCGGTGGTCGTCTGCGGGGCGACCGGCTGCGGGAAGACGACGCAAGTCCCGCAGTTCCTCCTCGACGCCGCGACCGCCGCCGGCTGCGGGGGGGCCTGTCGGGTGATCGTCACGCAGCCGCGGCGCCTCAGCGCGTGTGGGGTCGCCGCCCGCATCGCCGCGGAGAGACGCGAGCGCATCGGCGAGACCGTCGGGTACGCCGTGCGACTGGACGCGCGGCCGGGGCGGCACATCACACTCTGCACAACAGGCGTGCTGCTGCAGCTGCTGGTGGGGTCCCCGGCGCTGGAGACGGTGAGTCATCTCGTGATTGATGAGGTGCACGAGCGGGATGTGAACTGTGATGTGCTGCTGGCATTGGTGCGGCAGATTCTGCAGCGTGGGAATCCACGACTGCGGGTGGTGCTTATGAGTGCAACCATGCAATCCGAAAAGTTTGCCGCGTACTTTGGGAATGTACCCGTCATTAATGTGGAGGGAACGACATATCCTGTGAAGGAAAGGTATCTGGAAGATATTGTTCAACTCTTGCATAAGTCTTCCATGGCGAATTACTATAGTCCTATGTTTGACGTACTAGATAATAAGATATCACAATCTAGAAGAGGTAAAAATATCACCAGTAATCGTAATTCTGGTTTTCGTGGTAAAACACAACTTCTCACAACACCGTTAAAAACAGATTATGGTCTTATCGCACGTCTTATTGAGTTAAGTGTAAGTATAGATCTTCAAAATGAAGTTTCTGGAAAATCTATTCTGGTATTTTTACCAGGATGGAAAGAACTAATTGCGGCTAAGCAAGCTCTTGAAAATATTACAACTAATAGACGATATCACATTATTCTTCTTCACTCTTCTGTAGATGCAGAAAAACAACGACAATGTTTTGAACCTGCTCCTGAAGGATATATTAAAGTAGTTTTTGCTACAAATATAGCTGAGAGTGGTATTACTATAGATGATGCAGCTGTAGTTATTGATACAGGTTTAATTAAACAAACAACGTGGGTTCCACGAGATAGTGGTTCTCTTTGTAAAACACATACTTCATCCTTTGCTACTCATCTTACTTTACAATATGCAAGTCGTGCAAATTGTACTCAACGTAAAGGTCGTGCTGGACGAACTCAAGGAGGTGTATGTTATCGACTCTTTACACGTGAGATATGGGATGCCTTACCATCCTTTCAAGAAGCGGAAATTCATCGTGTACCTCTTACACAGGTGTTACTTAAATTACTTTCACTTGGTTATACCAAACCGAAGGAAACTCTTGGTACTTTTATTGAACCTCCATCTGTTCGAAATGTAGAGGCATCCCTACATCAACTCCAGTGTCTTGGCGCCGTAACGGCAACGGAAGAATTAACACCTCTGGGTTTATATCTTTCACGACTTCCATGTGATCCACCTATTGGAAAAATGATTATGATGGGTGTTGTACTACGATGCTTAGATTCTGCATTAACTATGGCAGCTACTGCTGATGTGAGTCCATTTTTGGCAAATCGTGAGTTATCTTTTGAAATACGTCAACGACGTCATATACTTGCTATGGGATCTCAGAGTGATCATATTAGTGTATTAAATGCTTATAACGCTTTTTGTGCCAGACGTGGAGATGTTAATTTTGCACGAGAAAATTTTCTTCATATGGGTAATCTTCGTTTAATATCACGTTATAAAGAACAATATCGTGAAATATTACGTCGTTCAGGATTTATTCGTAGTGATGAGTTAAACTCTCTTGATGTTCCTGGTAATAATAATAATAATGATAATGATGATGATGATGGATTCTTGGTAAGTGATGATACCTCCTCTATGGAGCAACTATATGTTGATTCTGGACCACTCTCTTCAGATGCTTCTGATGTAACACTTGTAAAGGCATGTTTATGTGCTGCGTTATTCCCAAATGTCGCGGTATTAGATCCAGCACCGTTATTGCAGGGATCGACAAAAACAAAAAAACTGGTAATGCGCACCTCTACACGTGTAAGCATTTCTCCATCAAAGGATAGTGCATGTCGTCGTCTAGGACCACCACGTAGCCATGGAGTTCTTACTGCACAGGAATTCTTTGATCAAGAAACCCATGACAATGATGAGAATAATAATAATAATAATAGTAATAGTATTAGTGGACCTTTTACTCCTTCAATGTTGTATATGTATCAGAATGTGTTTGGTGTACGGGAGTCACGAGAAGAGTTTCTCACACAAGTCTCCTCTGTAAGTCTCTGGGCGCTGCTACTCTTTGGTGTGGGTGAGGCCGATATGCAGTTTGATCCTCTGCTCAATCTCTGCATTGTTGGTGGCTGGATTGGTATTAAAATAGACTCCAGCTCCTTTGCAGCTATGCAGGCCCTACGTACAACTCTACACGCTGTTGTTTGGCGAAAATATAAACATCCGGATGATGATAAAAATAATAAAGCGCTTGAAGTGCTTAGAGGTTTGTGTAAGGCGGTTCTTAAGTCTCCACCAAATGATAGGGAGCAATACATCAACCGTCTAGTGGATACTGGACGTATTGTTTCTCCAACAAAAATGGAGCCTTTCACAAATATCTCTGGCGACAATACTGTTGATGATGATATTGATGATGACACAGATGATGCTAATGCTAATGGTGATTATCATGATGATAATGGTAGTCCTGTTAAAGGAAAAACAGAAAAGAAAAGAACTTGTTTTGCGTAATGATATTTCTCACTTTCGGTTTATCTTTTTTACTGTTTTTTTTTTTCTTTTCTTTCTTTCACTTGATATATTTACGTCACATTTACGGAGCATGTATTGTGTTTCCTTTTTATTTTTCTCTCTTTTCTCTGCAGTTCACAATTTAATGATTTTGCATTTTTATTTCCCTTTAATTTCTACTTGTGGAAAAAGTATGATTCCTCATAAGTTTTGATACATGAAATGAAGTGTTTTTTTTTCTTCTTTGAATTATTGCTCTGTTTGTTTGTTTGTTTGTTTTTTTTCCTTTTTTACTTTCACGTTTATTATTATTATTATTATTATTATTATTATTATTATTATTATTATTATTATTATTATTATTATTATTATTATTTATTTATTTATTCAGAAGCCAAAGGTTCATACCACCAGGATGGCAGTGAGTGGTACCGGTAGCAGCGATAACAGAAACACCAACACCAACAACAGCAATAGTAATAGTAATAGTGGTAATCCTTATGTTTGTTTGTCAGCGCATTGTGATCTGCTGCACTTTGTGGGTTCAGTTCCGCATCCCTACGGTGGGCCAACACCACAGACAATTGCTGATCGAACTTCACGATACGTTCGTTTCTCTTGTGAGTCTCTCGAGAAGACACCAACAGTAGTCGTGAAGTGTGAACATCCCCTCTTTTCCTCTGTTCCTATTGAGAAGAATTCAAACGGTGTGCCATTTTTCCCTTTTAGTGGTGTTGGTTTGGCGCAATGGGGATTCCGTCACAACTTTGATGTCTCATCCTCAGACTCAAAGTCAGAGTTTAAATTACAACAACAACAACAACAGCAGCAGCGGCAGAGTGAGGTTAATGATAGTTTTTCCCATTCCCAAGAACCTCATCATGTATCAGAGAAAATTCCCAATAATAATCTTAATGAAGCCACATCATCCCTTCCAGTCTCATCTGAAGTGGAGACTACTACTGTAGAAAGTGGGATATATGGTGTTATCAATCCTTTTGCATTGCGCCGTGTAATTTTACAGGCGCTTTGTGTTCTTAATCTCCCCAAGCGAAGTCCAGCAGTGGCCTTCACATTTTGTGCACATGACACGACTCCATTTGGTGCTACAAATTTTCTTATACTTCCTCGTTGTGCTGAACAAATACCAGCATTGGCTAATCCAGTGAAAGTAAATCTTGTCGTCACGCGAGTTAACAATGTCGATGTACTTGGATGCAACTTTCCCTCCTCAGACTTGCAGAAAATGAATGAGATAAAAAATGATGGTAATATGTGTTCCTTGCCTTCTATTTCATCTCCGTTATTTTTGCAATGGGAATTGAAAGAGGATACCGCAGAGAAGTCTCAGATTGATGTAGAAACTGTTAATTTGGGTTTATTCCTTTCAAAAATTATGATTTTTAAACTCTTTTATACTTCTGCTGTAAAATTTTCTGAAGGAACAGAAAATAAGGATGATCGTGTACGGCGTGTCGTTAGCTGGACTCAACGTCGTTCTTTTCATCTTTTGGCACTTATTGCACATTGCATTTGGTGTGAAAAGGTAGGTTGGTACGTGATGAATAGTATGAACAGTTCTGCAGGAGCAAAAACTACATCTTCAAGGTTCAATCATTGTAGAGCCCATCTAAAATGGCGTAATGATGCTTCTTTTTCAAATCCTAATGAAAAGTGGGAAACCACTTTGATTTTTTATAGTGATGCGTCTAGTGGTAATGATAACTGTTGTAAATCAGAGATGCAATCGAATTTAATTACCCCCAGTTCATCTGTGGTGTTACATTTGACTGTTCGGGGATGCGATGAAGAGATGTGTTGGGATTGGTCTGGTCCAGTTCCTCGTGTAGTACGCGGTGGATTGTGTATACTCCACAAGTAGCAAGAGGAAACTGTACCAAGGGAAAAGAAACTTCACACTGAAGTAGGTGGAAGAATGAAATGAGGTAAGCGAAAATGAAAACAAGAGAAAGAAAGAAAGAAAGAAAAAGAAGGAATTCCGAATGCGCAGCAGCTTGTTTATTTTGTTTTTATTTTTATTTTTTTTTTCCTTATACCCATTGGAAAGTAGGAAATGTGCTTCACATGGGGGGAGTCTTCCTCTGAACATATTTATATCAAATTAGATTCTTTGTTGGTTATCTGTTTGTTTATTTTGTTTTTCTTCTATTTAATGAATTCATCCTTTTTTTTTCCTTTCTTTGTATACCATATGTTATTATTATTTTTTACGACACAGAATACGATAGGTCACCTCAGATATAAAGTTTGTTTCTTCTTTCGGTTGTTGTTGTTGTTGTTGTTTTTTTCTGTTAGTATCTGTTTACTTTATTTATTTTCTTTCCTCTCATTCCCCTTCTTATGGGTGAAGTATAAAATGGATATGAGCAAGTTTATTTTACTTTTATTAGTCGTCTTGTTAACATCGTTTCTACCGAATGGTGGTCTGGCGTTAGAGCTCTGTCGCAGCCTCTCTGACCTCCGCGGCATCAACTACAATATCATACTCGAATCGAATGAAAGTTACTACGAAGATGGCGAGTACTTCTGCGCCCCCACCGCCCCTAAGCAATTCCAGTGCCGTTGCGGCTTCGCCACCATCTGTGTTCACAAAAACGACCCGTGGGGCCGCAACATTGGCTACTGCGGCTGCTGCCCGACGTGGCTGATTGTCTTTTTCGTGTTCTTTGGCGTCTTCTTTGCGCTGTCGCTGCTGACGGCGGTGTACCTGTGGGCCTGCCGGGGGAAGTGGTGGTGCGACGGGTACCCGCCGCCGGTGCAGCCGCTGATGTGCCGCCGCGGCCACGCCATCGTCGCCCCCGCCTCGGCGCCGCTCCCGCCGAATCTCTTCCGCGGGTACCCGTCGGCGGACTTCGCGAGCGACCCGGTCGGCGGGGAGGCGGCGGCGGCGGGCGGCAGTGAGGCCCCGTCGTCGTCCCCATCGCGGGCCGGCGGGATTATCCCCGGCAGGCGGAGGGCCGGCCGCAGGGGCCAAGCGGCCCCGACAGAGACAGAGACACCAGCACCACCACCGACACTGACACTGACAGAGCGGTCGGAGGAGCCGCCAGAAGCACAGAATCGTCTTAGTCGAAGGAATGTCCCCATGCATTCCAGTAGATATTATGAAGAAGTCTAGTGGTGGGTTTTTTTTTTCATGAATACTGTGTGTTTAGATAGCAAATCAACTACACCACAGCAAAGTTGTGAAGTCACAACGAGAAGAGAAGGGAAACTTCCACCAATAAAAAAAAAAAGGCAAATGCATACATATTGTAGAAAGAAAGAATTAGGTTCAAACTTTTTTTTCTTTGAAAGAAATCCAATAAGAAAATGCAAATGAGAATACAGCAAAAGAGAAAAGAAACAAAAAAAAAAGAGAATGGTAAACATGTAAGATTGTTGTCTTCTTTTGTATTTTTGCTGTTTTAAGAAGGTTATGTACTTTTAGGTACCGAATTATGTTTGTTTGTATGTGTATATATCTTTATTCCACTTCTTCTTGAGTGTGTACAGAGCTGATACATATATGTATAAACAAATATGTGTTTCTCTCTACTATTGGTTTACAATTGTCTATATATTTGGTGCATAAATATGCACCTTTATGATACCATGTGCATATAAATACATTATAGAAGTGGTTGTTTGTTTGTTTGTTTGTTTGTTCCATATTTTAAATGGTAAAGTAAAATGTATATATTTATATACAATACAAAGCATTTCCATTGTCACTTTAATTTCATTTCCCTTTCTCTGTGTCTTCTTGTTCTTCTTATATGTTTTTACATGGGAGGTGTCCATCCCGCTCCAACATTTGGCAGGAGGTGTGGTACAATACGTGAACACACCAACCAACACAAACCAAAGACAAAAAAAAAAAGAAAAGTAAAACAAGAGAATAAAGAAAATGTCAGACTCACGTCCGTTGTCGTCGATTCCAGAATCCCGAGATCTCAATGATGCCGCATACATGGAGGAACTCATCATTAAGAATGAGGAACTTCTTCTTGAGGTTAACCGACTGCAGCATATCATTAAAGATAAGGGTCTAGATCAAGTTCACGCACTTCGTGAGGAGAACAAGACACTTCGTCACCAGTTAGAGTTGCTAGAGGTGGAACACAACAGCCGTGATGGTATTCACTCCGCTCTAAAGGATCTATCCGAGCAGTTCAGGACAACATATAACTCAAGCTCAGAGTGTAAAACACTTGAGCAGCAAAATATGGCATTAAAGCAGGAATTGCTTAGAGTCACAATGAGTGAGGAAGAAGCACGGCGGGCACAACAAGAGGCAGAACGACGTGGTGTTGGTTTGAATGAAGAAATTACAAAGTTGCGTACGGCCCTTCAGGAGTTAACGTCTCAACTGGAAATTATGGAAAAGGAAAAGAAAGAGGCAGAAGCATTACACAAAGAGGCGGTGAAATCTTTACAGGAGTCACTGGCCCACACACATGAGTTGCAGGAACAGCATGCGGCGCTAAATGAAAAAATCTCTGCTGCTACACTAGAGGCGACTGAACAGTCTAGACTAAAAAGAGAAAAACATAGTTTGCTAGAACAGGAACTTGCCGGACTGCGGGAGGCACATATGCAGAGTGAAGAACAATGTCAAGTAATGGAGGATCAAAAGGCAGCACTCCGAAATCAACTGCGTGTAGCACAGGAGGCACTGTTAACAAGAGAGAAGGAGTTTTCAATAGAACTTTCGAAGCAAAGGGAAGAATTAGAGGAGATGCGAAGGAAGGAGGTGGAAGAATTGAAACGAGGCATGCAAGAGAAGGAAATACGTTTACAACATCATATTGAGAAGTATTTGTCTATAAATCAACAAATGGAAATAATAAAGGCTGAGAATCATGCAATTATGGAACGATATGGAATGAAACCTGAAGATGTGGCTGAACTTCAGAAACGTGTGAATGAACTGCGAGAGGAACGTTCACGAAAAGATGAGTTGCAACAACGCTATCAGGCTATGCTTTCAAGTTCTACATCTATTAATAGTGAAATTAAGGATCTCTTTGTTAGTATGTTAGACTACCAGGAACGTCAAGAGGAGGAAATGCTTACCATGTTGCGCATTCAGCAAATACAGCAGGAAGAAGAGAAAAAGGTGTATGAGTATAATATTAGGAAACTCCGTGAAGAGAATAAGACGCTTGGTTGTAAGATAAAGATATTGATAGAGGAACACGCCAATGCCAATAGAACAGCCCCAACAACAACAACAACATCAACAACATCAACGACGGAACCCGTAACAACAAATGAAACATCATGGAATTTACCACAAGGTGGGAATTCGTTACTTCCCCCATATACAAGAGAAACTGCCAGACCAAATCCCCCTGCGTGGGTTCCCAACACAGGCAGCAATAGTGAAGGCAGAAGTGGTAGTAGTAATAATAACACAATGAATGATATGATGTGGGGGCAATCGGCTTTACCACCAATGAACAGTGGGGCTCCAGCGGCGTGGTATCACGATCCCCGAAACCCATCGGGTGGTGCCCAACAATCCCGCGGGTGTGTGCCCTGCCCGCGCTGCACACTAAATAACAAGCCTGGCGCTACCGTCTGTGAAGTTTGTGGTTCCCCAATATAAAGAAAAGAAAAGAAAAGAAAAGAAAAGAAAAAAAGAAAGGGGTTCCTTTAGTTAATCGTGGCGATGATGGGTGGGGGTGATACATGGTACGTGAAAAGGTACAACCGTGGAGTTAAATGGAACCCAAAAGTGGGGAAAAAAGAAGAAAAAACAAAGATCCAGTGTACGTGAGATAATTAGTTTTTTTTTTTTTCTTTTGGATTCTCATTCACGAGAGTCATCATTATCGAAGGATGACTTATTCATGGTTTTTTTTGTCTTGCTTATTCTTCATTTCAACTTGACGGCATTATTTGTATTTCGTTCCCTTCATATGTTTATTTTCCCTCCTTTCCTTCATATCTCCTCAGAGTGATTATGTTTAAGAGGTTCTTTCGATGTGATTGTTTTCCAACTCTCTCTCTCTCTAGTAATTTTTTTTCGGTTTTGATTTCCTTTCGATTTTTTTTGTGTTTCTCTACGTGTGCTGTTTCTCTTGTTAGTCGCTATGGTTAGATCACATCATTTGCCTCTGCAATATTAAAGATGTGTCCACCAGTTGACTTGCTAAAGAGGGAGGGGGTAGAGAGTGGTAGAGGAATAAAAGTAAGTGTTAATTGTTATTGATTTTGTTTGTTTTTATTATTTATTTCCTTCTTTCTTTGTTTCTGGGTATTATTATCACGTGATGTATTCCCTCAGGTCTGAGATGGAGCTGTTTTGAAGGGTGTGAGTTATATATATGTATATATATGCGAGTAGATACACACTTGTCTTTGTGGAAACAGCTTTATTAATTGTAATGACTGCAGTACTGCGAGGGAACCCGTGTGTGTTTGTGGGATGGAGACAATGAAAGAAGGAATGAGTAAAAGAAATAAATAAATCAAGTGAATTTCGCCGTATATATATATATGTGCTACGTCTGTGTTTTTTTTTTGTGTTTTATCAGTTCATAACGTTAGTACTGTAAATGCCTATGGGTAATTATAAATAAGGCATATACGGACTGTCTTGCTTGTTGGACGGTAATGGTCTCTGATAGACTGTGAGGAAAAGCATGGGAAGAGGCTCTGGATAACATTGCAAATGTATTGTTTCGGATCCCTAACGTGGTCTATGGAATATACATGCAGATTCTCATATATATTTATTTATTTATATATATATATGAGTTATTGAAAAGAGAAATTGAGTGGACGAGTACATTCAAATTGAAAACAAAAACAAGCCAGTGGGAATCTACTACTACGGCTGGAAATCATTTTATTTAAGTCTCTGTTTTTTTTTCCCCTTTTGCCTCTGGCGTCCCACTACTGCACTACATTAATGGACCAATATAAACATGAATAAACAAAAAAAAAAACATTTAAAAAAAAAAATCAAAAGAAACCCCCGGTCGTGTGTTACGGACATGCATAACTTCCACTCAACGATCTTCGTCGCCTCTTCTGCTTGCGTTTTCTTTTCTTTTTCTCTTTCTTTCTCTTCGCCTCGCTCGGTGTTTTTTTTTTTTTTGTTTTTCTCTCTGTCTGTGTGTGTGTGTGTGTTTGTTCTGATATATATTTTTTTTTTCACTGCTGCTGTTGCTGTTGTTGTTGTTGTTATTGTGATTGTGCTTTGGACTCACACAACAACAACACATTCTCTTGGTTACTGCGTTCGGTATTGATATTGCTGTTGCTATCACCCAACCCATTTCAACACAACACAATACAATACAATTAATCAAACGAACAAAATAAAACCCATATAAACAACAACCATTATTATTATTATTAATATTTATTATTTATTACTATTATTATTACTACATCAATATTAATTTTATAATTATTATCAGAATTCTCAAAGTGTGATAATCACTCTGCGAACGCTACCAGCGACAGTAAAGCAAATTGAAAAAATAATAATAATAATAATAATAATAATAAAAGAAGGGATAACCACAAGACACGCTACACGTGAAGGACGAAAGTGAAATAAACCGAGTCTTTGCAAGTATAACAGATAAGCCAGAAAGCAAACAACAACAATAACAAACCAAACAAACCAGTTATACTAAAGAATATGGATATTATTGATAGGCCACTCAGTGAAATCATCAAGGAGCAGAAGATCGGTGAGAGTCTCCGCAAGAATCGCCGTGCTGGACGCAACAATAATAATAATAATAATAATAATAATAATAATAATAATAATAATAACAATGGCCGTGGAGCTCAGAGCGGCGGACCATCGCGAAATGGACGCGGGCGCAGTGGACGCGGGGGCCGCGGGGGCGCACAAGATCAGGGACGCCGCCGGCTGCGCATGCGGCCCAATAATAACAACGGCCCCTTCCGCCGCTTTGGACTCATCAGCCGCCGGCCCAATAATAACAACGGCAGCCGGAGTGCAATCAACAAAAACAACGGCGGCCCCAGTCGTCGCCGCTACGCGATGGACATCATCGACGACAGACGCGATCGCTCCGTGAAGAGTCTTCGCGCGCAGCGCCGCGGCCCAACGGCGTTTGAGCGCAACGACCGCCTCCGCTCATCACGCCGCCGGGATGCGATTGCACGGGCCCGCTCTCGCTTCTCGCGCGATTAGAGAATGCCAATTAAAGAAAAAAGAAAAGTAAAGTAAAAGAAGAGAGAAAAGAAAAAAAAAAAACTGAAAGGAGAATGAAAAAAAAAAAGAAAAAAGAAAAGGAAAGGCCAAGGTCGTGTTTTTATATATGGGTATATGTGTGTTTGATTTTGGATCTTTTTTCTTTTTTTTTACTTTCGTTACCGTAGTTGTTGTTATTGTTATTATTATGTTATTGTTATTATTCTTTGTGAGTCTGTGTGTGTGTGTGGCTCTACTCGTCGTTTCATGTATCTCTTAATTCGACTATTGGTAGTAGAAGCCGCAGGCATAATAATAATAATAATAATAATAATAATAGTAACAATAACAATAACAACAATATCCTCTTCGTGTTTCTTCCATTAGCACTGCGTAGTTGAAAGGGAAAAAGAGTACACAGACTGTGCAAAACCCCCTTTACATGTATTCTTAATTATTAAATAAGAGCAATGTTTTGGGGGAATTGTGTGTGCGTGTGTTTGTTTGTTTGTGTATGGTGATGAAGTGCACCATTATTATTATTATTATTTTTATTAATTATCCTTGCTATTATCATTATGAATATCATTCCGCAGATCGAGAAGAATAAAAAACAAAGAGAGTAGGAAATGATAACAAATAATAATGATAATAATAAGGGGATAAAGATAATAGTGATAATAAAGGTAGTGGAAGTGGATGCGAAGAATATGCTAGAAAGACGAAAATACCAAAGGAATATGAAATAAAATAAAAAAAAAAA